GGTTAAGCTCAACAAGAATGTTGCAAACAGAATCCAGATGTGTGTATGCTGTGAGCCTCTACCTTGTTCTGCCTCCACTTACCGTGAACTCCCGCAGGTTTTCACATTTGTGCGTCTCCTCCCCGGGCGGCTGCCCTGTCCTGCACAGCTTGTTGTGGAGCCACATGAGCAGGTACCAGAAGGACTTGGGGCTTGGAATGATGTTGAACGGAGGCGGCAGCGTGCCGCCCTCGTCAAAGTAACTCATCCACAGCTTGGTGCGTGCAAACTTCCACTCAATGTCAGCATGGTCCTGCAGCAGGAGAAGGAGGCACCTGAATTTACAAGCTCAAGAGACAAGGACAGACATCTGAAATCTCTGAATTCCTCTTCATTAATGGTTGATAACGTCCACTGAACTTAAATATTTGACTTCAATATTTAACATATCAAATTCTCTTTGCAGGGAGCAGTTCACACCATAGCATGAAATTAGCACGAAACCTTAACTTCTTATAAAAATAATTTGATGAATTTCATAATTATCATTGATCTTTCAGATTATGGAGAAAAATTGCGGCCATTTTTAAAGTGTTTTGTAATTTAACATGCAGTGACGGTCACATCCTGATTAAAACAGAAAGCACACTAACTCTAAAAGAACAAACTTCTCACGGTATAGAAACTGACATCCAGAGTGTTCACTGGACAAATGACAACAAACAAGCTTCCCCTGACTCACTAATCCTTTCAGCACACTCGCGCTTTCACTCACAGCAATGAGTTGGTAGGAGTTGTTCATCATGGCGATCAGCATGTTGAGCAGAACCACCAGTGAGATAACGTTGTACGTCCCGAACATGGTTGCCCCGACAAACTCCGTAAACTCGTGGCGAGCCTTCACGTTGGTGACGTACAGATTTAACAGCCCAAATATGGACCAGAAGAGAGACTGGAGAGTCTCAAATAACCTGAGGACAGAGAGAGAGGAAACTTCATAAGGTTCTTCAAAAGATCACAACAACAACAAACTGCTTTTAAACAAAAAGAATAATGCAACAAACCAGAGAGACAACGCATAAATAGCTTTTATCTATATAAACCTGTCTCTAACTCCAAGCTTTAATTTGCACATTATTTAGACACTCGCTCAGCTTAAACCACTCGTCTCCAGTTATGTGTGTTTTCAAATGACGCTGACAAGCAAAACAAATTTAGACTGATTTGCAATTTAATAGAAATTCAAATCCAAACTGAACACTCAGCTAATGTTATCAGCATGATTGATATGAGATTTAAACCACCCACAGGAAATGTCTTTTTGGGTAGAAGCAAATGTTATAAGCTGACAGATGTAAGTTCATTATGACTGGGCTAAGCAAAACTGCTCTCAGATGCTCCTGTTCAATCCCCACATCGCTAAAGCTGCAGTGAGTGGAGACCAAAACTTTACCTGCATATGAGTTTATCATTTAAATACACAAATCTGCAATTGTTAACAGAAAATGGCCACAGATCAGAGTTAGTAATATCAGTGCTGAGTTAAACCGAGTCGGCATTTGTTGGCACAGAACCTGCATCCAGATGGCAACGCATTACATGCTGCAGCAGGAGAAAGATGAGCATCAAATACACAGTGATGCAGTTTTTTCCTGCACTGAGACAATACAGCGATGTGTCCTTCCTAAGGGTAGATTACTGACCCGCCGTCACTCCAATGACCCTGAAAATGATGTCTTCACACATTTCATTTTTGGGTAATTAGACATTTGTTTGAAATCTGTTTGCTTAATTACAAAATACACAACCACATTTCCATCTTGGCTCTGAATAAAGACATGAACAGAGAAAGATATCACTTCAATCCTAGAGAACTGGTTCAATGAACATTTACAGGTCAATCCTTTTCTTGGATAATTGACTGACGTTGTACCTTCCTGATGCAACCTTCCCATTAATCTAGGCTTGTGACAGCCTGAGGCTTGTTCTGTTTACCCTCAAGCTACTACCTAAAATGTTTTAGCATTCAATGAATGGAGTGAATTTCTAAAATGATGAAATTGCTGTATAAAATCGAGGTTAGCAGGTGAACAACAGCCGTTCCCTGCCTCGGGCTCCCTGGGAGGTTTGTCCAGCTACATTTCACCCATCTACACCTTCACAAGCTGTGTTATGACGTGCCGGTGATGTGGTTAAAGCTTGGCTTTCAAAAATTATTCTCATTTTACAAAGTTCATTCACCTCAGGTTGCGTCCGTGCAGCTCACGCCCGCAAACCGAGCTCTTGCATTTGTCTTGTGACCTTTTAAGCACAAATGTCACTGTAGTAAAAAAGCCCCCGAGGGTCTGCCTGCAATGGCGTGTGCGTTCAATAAATGCTCAGTTTGTCCATGATTAAAGCGGACCACCTGTGTTTCTGCTGAACACTCGTCATAAAGGCAGAAAGAGACCTGCAAAAAATATGGTTCAAAAAACAAAAAAAAAAAGCCTCTGTACCTCACCTCGCTTCTCTGCTTTCTCCTCAAATATGACCCACAACTGTTAATCTTGAACCCGGAAGCAGCGCCTGGATGTAGGTGTGATGTGTGCACGTCACTGCAGATAAACAGCGAACCAAACCTGCTTCACTTGGGTTTGGTTCCAAACTTTGGGTTCAGACCTAAAAACAACTCCAGAAGTTTCACTTCTGTAATCTTCACTTATTAACACCCCAGGTTTCCTCTCCATTTCCATCTGCATTGATTTTTCCCCCACCCTCCCTCTTTTCTCCCCTCCTTCCACCGACTCTTATCATCTCCTTGTTTACCTCCTTATTTTATTTCCCTTCCCTGCTCGGTCTGTCTCGGTCTCTCAGTCTTTTTTTCCCCCCTCTGTTTGTGTGACAGTCCCAGTTACAGGGGAGGTTATTGAATTTTTGATGAAATTGGTAGCGGCCGACACTACATCATGAGAATGAAAGAGCGAAAAAGAGCGAGAGAGAGAGAGGTTTTGTCTGCGGGGTGTTATATTTGTGCTGCATAAAATATTTAAGACTCCAGCATTTATTCTCATCGCAGCAGGACTGTGTGTTGTCTCCGGTGTGTGTGAGTGATTGCTGTATCAATCAGCGTACAGGCTGCGTGTGAGCGATGGTTTTAATGTTTGCGTGCGCGCTCGCTCGGCGCAGGGAGAGACAGAGAGGGCGAGAAACTTCGGAGATTGTGTAAATGAAGAGAGGCGGGGTGAGGGAGGTTGGAGGGTGGGATTGAATCCACGATGAATGAAGCAACCAAGCGTGATATTGTGCCGCAGTTATGAAACGAGGGGGGGGAGGAACGTGTTTCAGAGGGGAATGAACAATGAGTGGGAGGAGGGAGAAACAAGAGGAGGTGAACTTTTAACCGAAGTGAGGAGGAACAAACCTCCTCATCTTCTCCCTCGAAATTCTCGCCAAGCAACATTTGATGAAATCTCTAGTATCCAGTAATTAGTCCTCCCCTTCTCCACCTTTCTGCTGTTTCCTGTTATCCAAGCTTGGTTTTTCATATCTCTGCTTTGGCTTCACCCACTTGTCCTCGTCCCCTTCGTCTTGCACGCTTGTACCTTTTATTTGATCTTCTTTCTTTTCTTTGCTTATTTCTTCTCCTCTCCTCAGTTGCATCCTCTCCCGTCTCATTGACTGTGTCCTCGTCTTTCACCTCACCTTATCTATTCTTTGCTCCTTCTCCTTGTTCTCGCTCATCTATTTTTGTTTCCTTCTCTCCGATATCCTTCTGTTTTTCTCCATTCCTCCTTTATTCTCATGTTCAGTTCTTGTTTTCTTCCCTCTTTACTTTAACTTTTCCATCTCCTTTGTTTACCTTTCCCATTCCCTGCTTTTCTCATTTCCTTCCCCAATTTTTCCTTTCCTATTACTCTGCCTCACTCTCACCATTTCCACTCCTATCCTCACTACCATCAGTCCTTGTTTATTCTCTATTTTTCTCATCCCCCTTTCTCTCCATCTTGCCTCCTTTATGCTTCTGTTCTTTGACCCCTGTCTCCTTATTTGTCTCATTTCTTTTTCACTGTTTTCTACTCTCCCATCATTTCTTCTTCTTTCCACTTTTTGTTTCAACTCCTTGCTTTCTCTCTCTGTCCTCCTGCTCTCCTCACCTCACCTTCAGTCCTTTCTCTTCTTTCCATTCTCGCTCCAAATCTCTTCTCTCCACGCCATATTTCTTCCTCTTTCCACCTGCAACTTCTCTCACCCATAACTTCAGCGCTATCAGCCCACTGAATGCCCGTTATCAGTTGTTATCACTCCCATAGGTACCACCAGCAGGCGGCCTGCTCCGGCAGCTAGGTTAGTAAACAGGGACGAGGCCTTTGCCATTCCAGCTCCAAATCTGTGGGACAGTCAGCCAACTGGGATCAGTGCTAACATCACCAGTGCCCTTTGAATCTTTTCTGTTATTCAAAGGATTTCATGAATGCTTTATTCTCTTCTTGTCTTTGGTATATTTTTTTTAGCTTTCATCTATGTTTTGTTTTAATGATTTCCATTTTCAGTTTGTTTTTTTTATTGAATCTTTTAATCTTTTTCTAAAACACATTTTATGGAAAAAACATGTTATATAAATGTAGTTTATTTTCATTCTATTGCTCAAAAACAATCTTATGTCTTTCTGCTGAAAGGGCATAAGAAAGGTGAGTGTTTCCTCCGTGACAGATCAAAAGTAGTCACACGGACATTGAAAAGAATCCACTGCATAGAGTACTGTGCATAAATCTTGTGCCACTCCTTATTTCTCAATTGTTTGCTATCAAAAAGGGAAATAGTTGGAGTTTATTCAAACATATGTAAACACAGAATTACAGTATATGAGGCAAAAACAGAGTTTATACAATTCTAATAAGCTTAATAGTCAATATTTGGTGAGCCCACCTTTGTTCTTCAACACACGCTCTCTTAGGCAGATTTCTTATCATTTCTTTAAGTAGTCTTCAGGAATAGTTCTCTAGGTTTCGTGAAGGACATTGAAAGCTGTCGAGATGATCCCAAAACGCTTCAAAAAACGTGAAGGCCCGGGGCCGGGGAAGCCAAGAACGAAAAGGGTCCAACGGGGGCCGTTCCAACCAAGGGGGCCTTTACTGAACTACCAGTGTTTGGCGTCATTGTCATGCTGAAAAGTGAAACTGTCCACCAATCAGATTCTTTCCAGACTGCACGGTGGATCAAAGTCTGATGGTACTTTTATGGCCTCACAATTTAATCAGTTTTAGGATCTCCAACGCACCTCCCTCCTGACCTCTTCAGTCATCCTCGATCTACACAATTGTACAGCAAACAACCGAGGACTCGCTTGATTTATGACCTCAGGAAACACTTTTCCACTTAGTTTATGGCCTGAATTGCTGGTTTGATTCTTAATGTATACAAGAGGATGTTTATGGCGTTATTTTTGTGCCACTGTTCTGAGCGCATGAAAAAAAAATTGAGCGCACGTAAAAAGAATTTGCAGGTGCAAGTGTTGCATTTTGAGGACAAATTGATTTTGAACGAAGAAAAGCTGAATTTGAGTGAACAAAATTCATTGCTGTGTGCAAAAAATGTATTTCAGTGTTTGCTATTATCCACACACACAACAGCAGTCCCTCTCACTCAGGTTTTGCATTTGCGCTCGCTCGCAATGTGTTGCTTGCGCTCTCAACATTTCTGCCCGTGCATGTTCAACTCTTTCTCTACACCGTTATATTTGTGCCACAAAACCAGCCAATCACAGACTTCGATGCAAAAAAATCTGATTGGCTTTTTTGGTCGAAATGACAAAATGCAATATCCCAGAATCCATTTCGTCCAAAACTCAAATGAGGCAGTGGCGGAGGAAGACAGAGTGGCGGAGTTTGAAATATTACTCTTTCTGGGTCACAAAATAAACTTTTAAGATATTTTCATGCGAGAATGGTGCTGTGTAAACTTCAAATACCTGCTCGATTTATCAAGACATCAC